ATAGATACTTGTCTTACCTCTGGCATCTACATCCTTTTCTTTAGAAAGAATAAACTGAGAATCCTCATGACTACAAGCCCATGAAGATCCTACTGACTACAAATAACATTGGGCGATGCTGAAAACCCAGCCACGGCTTAACAACAGTAAAGTAAGTGCAAGCATTAGGAAGCCATGGGTATACCTGCAATGCTACCATTGCTTATTTAAGACAACAGAGAAGAAATTGACATGGAAACCAGAGAGAGGTTGATGAAGCCCAAGGTAAGTTCACTTAACAAAGCTCTTTCATTTTATCTATGACTTCCTTTCCAGAAGCCTTCCAGAAACATTTCTGGACATCCTTAACTCCTGTTTCGAGCGAGAAAAATTTCTGCTAAGAGACAAGGGTGTTATGGTCACTAAGAGAGCACAAGCACTTTGTATCTCTGTGTGCAAAACATGTAAAACATCATACCATAATCAAAAAGATTTCTGCCAACAATAAGGTGGCAACTTCATGCTTCTGCCTCTTATTTAAACCAGCCTGAAAACACACTTTCCCTCACACCATGATACTTAAAGCTGAGTATATTGGTCTATTGCAGATTCAAAATGGGATTGCCTGTATTTTCCCTCATAGCTCTTAGAATCTAAAATTAAGTTCTACTATCTTTCTCAGTTGCAAGTCACTGAAGATCAATCATGAAAGTACCTTTCTCCTTCACAGACAAAATAAACCATAAATAGAAACTATTAAACCAAGTATTCTGTAAATAGAAACTTTCCCTTTGTTTTTAAGTAGGGACTTTTGCTGCAAAGAATCCTCAGGTCAGCTAATTACAATACTATTCACCAAACAATTACCTGCAGGAGATAGCTTATTTCAATAGAACCTCAGTTCTGTTACCATCAAATATGCCTGATTAAATGCTCCCATGTCTAACACAAATCACATTTATTATGTTAGCATGTATTCAGACCTCCTACAGTATCACAGCACTCAAATTTGAGGTGTGGAATTGAGCATGACAGACAATAAACTTCGACCTCTATGCACATATTAAAAATATATAATCAACACATGAATTAAGCTGTGTTCTTTGATTTAAAATGATTATATTATAATAGTGATATCAGCAGACTTTTAGCACATTGGTAAGTTTGGCTTATGAATACAGATGTGAATGCTGCTTGTTTATTTTTATATGTAACTCTACATTCAAAGTTCACATTCTGCACAGCTTAATTCACCAAAGGCTTGCTTTCCAAGTAGTGTTACTCCATCTTCATTACAAAAACTGCAAATTGTATCAGGTGTTTCTGCCCTAACTAAACAAAGTGCTTCAGAACATTTAGTTAAAGAAACAAAGGTTTTGCAATTACAAAGCAATCCTACCTCTGCAGATCCCACCCCATCAGCACTCTCCCCAGTATCTTTGAATCTACTGACCACTTCCAGCTGAATCTGTAAAAGGTTATCACTAAGAAATGTTAAGTTCTTAAAGGATAATTAGAACAGGAGACCAAGAGTAGCAATTCTATTAATCTTATATCAAGAAGCAACTTTAATGTGAGGTCAATCCTACCAGACAACAAAGACCCTAGCTAGAATACACGATCAAAATCACAGGGGGAAAAAAGTTATATCTTTGTTGTCTGGCAGGATTGACCTCACATTAAACACTCATATATTAAAAAGTATAAATATGTATACATAAAAATATATACGAATATTTATACATTAAAAAAAATAAAACTTTACACGCCGGTAACCAGAACACATAACAATCAGTCAAATTCTTCACAGGTGAACCTCTTGAGCACCACTGCTCATTACAGCTATATATTCTAACTCCTGGAAACCACAAAGGATGCCATTTTATTGGACATCACATGCAGTTCACATCTCAGAACCACTGAACAGTTTAGGTTCAGTTTGGAAGGGACCTTGCAACCCACCCAGTTCCAACCCGTGCTGTAGGCAGGTCTACTACCCACCAGCTCAGCTGCCCAGGGCTCCATCCAACCTGGCCTTGAGCACCTGCAAGGATGGGGCAGCACAGCTTCTCTGGGCAGCTGTGCTAGGGCCTCGCCACCCTCTGAGTGGAGAACTTACAATGCACATCTCACGTAAACTTCCTTTAACAGCCATTTTCCCCTTGACCTATCACTACACCTCCCGACGAAGAGGCCCCCCTCCAGCTTTCCTAGGGGGGCTGTCGGTCCTCGCTCAAAGGGCTTCACGCCACGAAGGGCACAGAACAGTTTGTCAGGCCCGGAGCAGAATCGATCTCCTCCGGAGCTGATCTCACACGACCGCGGTTCGGCGTATTACTTCAGCCGTACAGGGCGCCAGCTCCCTCCTCGGGACCCTCGGCGGAGAGCCGGGAGCGCAGCGGGAGGGGCGGCTCCGGACCGCCCGCGCCGCTACGTCGGCGGGGAGCGACGGCGCCCTCCCGTTATGCAAGACGGGGCTCCCCGCCCCCGGCCGGAGGGAGGAGGGGAAGCCACCCTGCGGGCACGTGACAGGCGCGCAGGCCCCGCCGCCGCCATCTTGAACGGGGGCGGGAAGCTGGCCGCAGGTCCTCGCGGCGCGGCCCGGGGAGGGGTCGGGCGGCGCGACCCCAAGGACGGCCCCGACGCTGCCAGCGGGGAAGGAGGTGGGAGGAGGACGCGGTGCGGCCGCGACGGCTCTGTCCTCCGCACCCGGGAGACAACGCGGGAGGTCAGCCCTCCTCCTCGCGCCTTGGGCCGGCCGCCGCGGCGCCATTCGTGGCTGCGGGCGGCGTTCTCCGCCCTAAGGCCGTTTCTGCCCTCCCCCGGGCCTCAGCGAGGAGGGCACGGCCACTGTCCGACGCCTCAGGGACGGGTTGGTGCCGGAGGGCCCGGCCGGGCCGCGAGGTGCTGCTGGAGGCCCGGCCCTTCCCACCTGAGGCCGGCCCCAGGAAGATTCAAAGAGCTCTTTATAAAGCATCTCACAGCATAAACGCGGTGCCCTGAAGGCACTAAATTTCACAGATTAAAGGAGGATAAAAAGCACGTGGGCACCCGACAGGATTTTATATCAAGTCCAATTTCACAGTACGGCTGCATTTGCAGAGGGAAACCTTTAACCATGCGTACTCTGTTACCTCGACTGTGACATCCAAGGGTGTCCACTACTCATGTGAGCTGAAAAACCTCAGCAGAAACCCATCGATGCCTCCGGTCCCCACTAGCCGTTAATCTCTGGAAGCAGCTCTGCTTTATTTACAATTTAAGAAAGAAAAAAACCCCGCAGCAGGGATGCAGCTTCAGCCCTGTGCAGACCAGGAACTATGTGATGCGTATGTTCAGCCAAGCTGGGCCAGGCCACTCGGCGTTCCCTCAGTAAATGAAACCACTACAACTTGGAAGGCTGTGTTGACACTGCAGCCAGAACGCTGCACAGCACAGACTTCAATTCCAGTAGTCCATAGCAGTCAGCTCCCCGATGCCCTCACCTGGGCTCTGAACAGTCGTGCCTGGGGTGCCAGCCTCAGTTAGGCAGTGCATTTCCAGTTACTGGTGCTTCAGACCTCGTGAGATCAGAGCCCAGCCTCACCGCTTCCTCCAGCCCCCTCTTCTCTCCCTGAGAAAGGACTTCCAGGACTCATTTTGGGATAGCTAGACTTAGAGCAGGCCTAAGAGCCAAAACAAACACTTTTTGGACTTATGCTATGAATTATGATTTCAGTACCGTAACATCCACCCACTAGTCAATGACCTGCCAAATGTGCTTTGGCCTTAAAACGATACAAGCCTTTACTGAGCATATTTGAAGTCTTAACAATTCATCCTCATCTCCTTCGAGCACTACTCAAAAGCACATCCTTTTCCCACCAAACTGAGAAAGGGGCTGCCGCTACTTCAGCAGGGCACCAGTTTTCCAGGAGTGGCTGAAATGGACAGCACTGAACGCAAACTTAAAAACAACTGTTTGTGCTGCTTTTCACCTTTTTCTGTTAAGTCCCCGATGAAAACCTCACATGTCTGATTTCAGCAGTCTATCTGCATTGTAAGTACCTATCTTCCAGCCCTTTCTTCCTCTTTGCATGAGAGGCCATCTATAGACCAAAAACCATAGAGCTCCAACACAATGGCTTGGTTGCATAAATACAGGGCTGATTTTTTTTTTAAAGCAGACATTTATCAAAGGGGCAAAATGAGATTAACTGCACTTAGATACAGCTGCTGCAAATGAGGGTACTCCAGTGCCACTCAAGGAAAGTCTGTGTTCTGAGATTGCTGCCTTTCAGCAACAAGTGGCACATCTGTGCTCAAGATGTGCCTCGCTGCCTCCTGACAGCCGCACAGAAATTCAGCTTTTCTTTCCACAAAAGCTCCAGTTGTGACATTTCAGTTCGCTCCTTCAGTAAAACAACTGCCAACCTCCTTCCCCAAGACCTTCAACCGCCTCACAGAACGCAGCTTTGGAGAGATGCAACCCTACAGACACTGACCCTCAACAGCTACCCTGGTCCCTGCCAACCCCACTATAAATCTCACTGGGAAGGGGGGGGGGGGGGCGGGAGGGGGCAGGAAGGACAGGTTCCATGTAAAAATTACTCCAACACCTCCTATTGTCCCAAGCACCTTGTGAATATTCTGTGGTTTCTATCTAGCACTATTACACTATTACCATTATTTCTATGAGTTGAGTTAAACTGCCTTGCCACCGGGCCTGTGGTGTGCGAGGAAGCGTACCAGGCTCTACGAGCATTCAGCATCCTACACTCTAGCAAGGAGGGTCTGAGAAGAAGCACACCAGAACATTCGGCTGGCCAAGAACAAGAACCTCCCCCTCCCCCCCCCTCCTTTAAGTCACGATCAGGCATTATTATGTTATTATGGCACAACACACAATTTGAAAACCAGATTGGGCCAAGGAGAAAACCAGAGAAAGCCACAACCCTGCGTGGGGGGCTCTGCTTCAACCGATAGGAAGTGGGGAAGGGCTGAAGGATAGGGGAAGAGGAAGGCGCGGAGCACGGCATTACCTGGGCCCGGTGGCGGCCGAAGCCCTCTTCCTCCTCCTGGTCCCCGCACAGGGCCCTCCGCAGGCGTTCTAGGTGCTCTCGCAGCGTGACCCGCTGGTGGAAGGAGAAGGCCGGGTGCAGCGAGGCCATGGTGAAGAGCAGGAGCAGTTCCTCCTGCGCGCCGAAGCCCAGGCCCTGGGCGGCGGGGAGAGGGCCCTGTCCGTTCTCTCCGGCCCCGTCCATCACCATCACCACCTCCTCCTCGTCCTCGGCCCCCTCCTCCTCGGCGGCGCCCGCCCGAGGCCGCCGCGCCGGGCAGCTCTGCAGGATGGAGTCCACCTGGGGCAGGAGGCGGTGCAGGCGGCCGGCCGCCTCGCGGTTCTCGGAGCCCAGCAGGGCCAGGTAGACGATGAGCTTGGAACGCACGGCCGGGTCGCGGAAGTCGCCCAGCTGCCCGGGGTCACTCAGCCCGTTGGCCTTGGCCTCCGAGTCGCGGAGGCAGTGGTAGTCCTTGCGGGCCAGGTCCTCCAAGCAGGAGCCAAGGAAGCGCAGCTCCAGCGGGTTGCACAGGTCCAGCAGCCCCACCATGAACTCCAGCCGCTGCGCCGAGCCCAGCACCAGCCCGAACCACTCATACACCGTCTCCTTGTCGGTGCGGGCCGCCGCCGGGCCGGGGCCGGAGCCTCCCGGGAAGGCGGGAGGCGGCGGGCCGGGGCCGGGCCCCGGCCCCGGCCCCAGGCCGTGTAGCTGGCTCGGCCGCTCCAGCCCGCACCCCCGCCCCGCGGCGGCTCCCCCGCGGCCCGGCGCCCGGGGCACCTGCTGCGGCTGCGGCTGCTGCTGTGGCGGCGGCGGCGAGGGGTGGCAGTCCGGGGCCGCGCCGGCCTCCTTCAGCCCCAGCGCCGCCGCGGCCGCCTCTTCCGCCGCCGCCCTGTGGCTCGTCGGCTTCAGGGGCAGCTTCATCTTCAGCATCCTCGGCGCGAGGCGGCCGCCAGCGTCCGAAGGGGCCCGGCAGCGGGCCAGGGGGCCGCGGCCGGGCCGGGAGCGGCGGTCAGGCGGAGCCGGCGCTCACGCCGCTGCGGCCCTGCCGGCGCGGGAGTAGAGGCGCGCGCGGAGGCAACGGTCCCGGCGCGCGCGTCCGCGTGCGTGCGAGAAGGGGGAGGCGGGGGGGAAGGGGCGTGTGCGCGTGTGGGGAGGGGGCGGGCGGTGGGGGAGGGGCGGGTCTCGCTGGCGGCGGCAGCTCCCGCGGCGCTTCCCCCTCCCCTGACCTAACGCCGCTGCGCGCGCCCGTCGGCCCACCGTCGGCGCTCGCGGCCCGGGCCCAAGCCGACCGTGCGCGAGCTCGCGGCGAGGGGCGGGGCCGGCGCGGGGAGGCGGGCACGGCGCGTCTGTCGGCCTATGGGCGAACGGACGTCTGCGCGCTCGTGAGCGCGTGCGGCGCCCCGCGCCCGGGCTGCGCCGGCGGCTGCGGGGCCTCGCTGCGTCGGCGGCCGCTGCGGCGACGGCGGGCTGTGATGCTCGGTCGGTGCCGGCGGGGCGGGGCGGCGAGTGTACCGCCTTTCTTTTTTTTTTTATCCCACCTGCAGAGCCCGTCCATTGGGAGCGGAGGAGTGGCCGTGGTGGTGGGCGGCTGAGCCGGCTCCGGCGCTGCCTCGGCCGTGCGGGTGCGTCCTGCGTTCCGTTAGGCTCGCGCGGATCCCGCGGCTCGCCTCACAGCCCCGATATAGAAAAAAGGCGTTTTCCTGAGGTAACGCCACTTGCTGTCTTTGGTGTGTGGAGCTCCGCAGCTGTAGGACAACGTTGGGTGCAAACCCGCTGGTGTGTTTGCATTCCCAACACGATGGGAATCGCTATTGCGAGAGCTGTCATTTTTATATTCGCAGAATCTTAGAATCATGAAGGTTGGAAAATACTTCTAAGCTCATCCAGCCCTACCAGCAGCCCTTCCCCACCGTGCTCACCACCCGTGTCCCTCAGCACCACATCCACAGGGTCCTTGAACACCTCTGGGGACGGTGACTCCGCCGGCTCCCTGGGCAGCCTGTGCCACTGCCTCACTGCTCTATCTGGGAAGTGTCTGGGAACCTCCACACGGGCACAACTTCAAGCCATGATCTCTCTTTCTATCATTGTTACTGGGAAGAAGATGCTAACCTTCCCTCCTCCTCCATAGTCACAACCTCCTTTCAGGTCACAGTGAGGGATGAGGTCTCCCCCAAGCCTCCTCCACACTGAGCAATCCCGGTTCCCACTCTCCATAAGACTTGTGCTCCACACCCTTCGCAGCTTGGTTGCCTTTCTCTAAAGCGCTTCTGGGCCTCCATGCCTTTCTTGTAGTCAGGGGCCCAAAACTGAGCTCAAGGTGTGGCCTCACCAGTGCTGAGTACGGAGGGTATTGCTGCTGTTACAGTATCATGCAGCTTTCTGCATGACTTTGCAGGCAATTTTGCAGTAGGGAAAAACAGAGAGTGTAAAGAAAGTATGGCAAAATGCGCTTTGAGACAGTTGATCCTGAAACAGAACACTGGATTCGCCCTGATTTCACCCATTTTGTTACCAATTGTTGTGATCAGAGATGATGGAGAGCCTACAATTGCACCATTAAGCATTAGTCAGTAATTGGGAAGTTGTGGTGCCTGTTACTTCAGTCCCCACATGTTTAGAGAAAACCAGTATATTTAGAAGCAGACTCAAGCCCATGGCTTGCAGAACACACAGCAAAGAATGAAATGTTTTTTAATTAGAATTATGCAAAACAGCATCCCTAAACTGTTTACAGAAAAGAAGTATGAACAGCCAGTGCTAACCCCCCTTATCTATCTGTCCAGAAGCTGATTGTGCTGCAATGAAAGAGCCTATTTATTAACCAAGTAAATGTCATGCAGATTATAATAATCTAGCATGCATCATTCAGACTTGCCACAGAGCATCAATCTACTCTTAAATGTTGCTTACAGACTAAACCATACCCCAGTTTCTCATATCTATGTGTCTAGTCCATGGCATTTTATTTACTTTAAGGTACAATATGTTAGGTTTCTACTTTCCTAATGGTTGTTCTGTCCTCTTCTAGTAACACAAATACACTTGAACCTGAATCAGCAAAGCTCTTTCATTATTGTTACAGATCATTGTGAGCAGAAATGTAGCAGAGAGGGGAAATTGTTCGAGTCCTACCACATCATCCCAGATTGTTAGCAATTCTTTGTCAGTCCCAGGACAAGAAAGGGGAATAGTGCACAAAAAAAGAGCTGCATAAAGCCATTTTATCCTTCTTTATTTTATACTGTTCTCTGTTCTCTGGTTAGGGCCTGATGGGCTCACGAATCATTCCAAATCCTTACAGCTATTAGTCAGAGCAGTTATCATAATACCCCAGAATATTATTTTCTCACATTGTCATTATGAAGTAGTAATTCTGGAATTACAGTAATTCTAGTCACGTTGTTATGGGTTTTGTTGTTGTTGTTTTTTGTTTCTTTTTCCCCAAACAAAAAATACTGTGACTACCATAGCAGATATGCCAAACTGGAATCATTTAATGCACCAGAACAAGGCTTGAGGTTTCTGCTTAATTTGAATGTGGTTTTTCCATCTGAATAAAGTATACTGGATCAGAATTAAGCGGATGCTCAAAGTAAGACTTTTTGTTTCCCTTTTTCCAATGGTTCAAACTGTGATACTAGAGGAAAAGAGATTTGAAAGGTAGGAGAAGAAAACCAGGAAAACAAATAGTGTGAGAAAGGAAAAAGAAGATGAAGAGCTTAAAAGTATTTCTATAGCTCAAGGAGCTGGTAGCAAGTATTGGGACAAAGCGGAATGAGAACTGAAACTTTGAGTGTCCAGAGGAAATGAAAGTGAAACTCAGGGCTGTGGGTGGAAGAAGCAAGCAGTGAGGAAATGCATGAATACTGATGTGATAAGCTGAGCTTGAGAGATGTTAACCTGATTTTCTTAGTGACCTGTGAGATGAGAGGAAGAACTGTGACATTGTGTGATACACAGCACAGTGTCAGGGGAAAACAAAGGCAAACCTCTGAAAGCAGCTGAGCTGGTCACAGTGTGGTGCACACAGAGGGAATAATCTAACTAGAGTGGGAAATACAGATCTCCAGTAGAGACTAGAGCAGTTTTGCTCATTCATTATTTGTCATTTACCTTATGATAGTTGGCATTTTTTTGAGTATCTTACCTTTTGTGGAACAGATATTTTGTTACATTTTAGCTGAGACAGCTGGAAGAAGAAAGCCTTGAGAAGATGATAATTTGTAATTCACTGAAAACAAAGCCTGACAAATCAATAGCTTATTACTGTTTTTTTCTTAGTGTATAGATTTTGAATGTTTGAGCTCATCTGTTCTTTCCTGTGTCCTCTTTTTCAGCACGAGCTGAGCAAGCTTATATTCCCCTGTACATAACAAGCACACTTGGGATTTAATGTCTTGGCATAAGGCAGTCTGACTGTACATAGAAGGCTTAGGATATCTGCAGCACCTCTGAGGTTGGCTCTCTCAATCAAGAAACAAGTCAACAGAACAAATGGTGGCATTTACTTAGCCATATTCCCAAGTACACTGTTTGTAGCCTAATTATGTTTTCAGTGATAGAAGGATACATTTAAGTGCTCATTTTAATTATGGATCTTCTAAATCTGAGATTGTAACTTCCTCTCGAAATAAAACTGGTATTGGCAGGGCGTTTTATTACATAAGATTAGTTGTGTTGGATGGACCATTTCATGGTGTGTTATTAGACTGTTTTGAAAGCTAAAGCTATGCTTAACAATGTTGTTTTTTTTTTTCCTATATATATGTGGAATGAATACAGGTGTTTCTACAACTCAATACTCAGTATGACTGGTGAAATGCAAATAACCCTTAGTCCTAATCATGTTTGCATCCTGTGCCAGGGATAAACATACGATTTTAAACCCAGTTTAAATCGCTCACACGTCATTTTCAATTTAAAGTTACTGAAAAATAAGTTCAGTGTAGGCAGAGGGTGTGTCCCCAGGATTAACCTGATTATGAAAGACAATTTCTAAAGTCAAAGTTGGTTACTGATTTGCAAAGGTCACCTGTCCCAGGCCTCTGTGGCAAGCTGGCCAATACAGGTGCTGTTACGAAACACAGTCACAAATTTCAGTTCACCACTCAAGGAAAGCTGAACTGAGGCTGCAACCCTTTTTTACGTAACTATCAAAGGTGAATTATTACTATTTTAAACTGGATGCTGATCAGAAATGTGTGAAAGATTGAAACATTACGAAAGTACAAAGATTTCAGCTTATGTGTAGATGGAGCAGCCTACATACCTGCATGGGGTTACAACCCATGGTACAAATAGCAGTCTGAACTGGTTTACTCTTCTCTGGTGTAAAATAGTAAATGACAGCTAACAAGAGAATTTAGGGAGAGCAAAGAATACAGTAGCACTGAGAAGTTTGTATCCTTTGGATCTTCTGGCCAGCAATTTCCCTACTGGAAATTCTCACTGTGGCTTTAATGCCACAGATCACAGACTGTGCTGATTTAGATCATGATGATTTCAAGCAAGTACGAACCGTGCTAGAGCTGGAATTTGCACAGACGACTACCTAATGTAGGTGAGAATTCATCCTGGGGAGAACAAATGCAACTCCCAAAAGCATTCACCTTTGGGCTTTCACATTTTGCAGAGGACAGTGGTGAAATGCCACTGACTGTGGAAAATTGCAGAACCATTGCTGTAAGCTTTCACAATGCATTGCGGATAATCTGCATACACAGTTCAGCCAACGCTGGGGTTTTGCTGTCATGAGAAGTCCTATTTGAGACCATTCAAGCACGTGCCTATATCAGCCCCTGTTCTAGTGAGCAACAAACTATATCCTTAAGTGTAAAGCAGTAAAATTCAAACACCTACGCATAAGATAAAAGACCTAGGCCACCTTAAACATCTGATCATAGCTAATTGAAATCTGTTCTCAAATGAGGGCCTGCAGGAGG